ATCAAGCTGATCTAAGCAGTATACATACTTCATAGCTGAGTGCATTTCCTGACTGTAACCCCCTCCCCCTTAACTTAAAAAAAAAAAGACAGCACACAGTTTCTCGGTGTAATTAGAGCAGTGCCAGTTGTACACCACTGTGACTGGAGGATGAAGAGCAGGTGAACGAGACGAAGGCGAGATCCAAGCTTCCATGCGATCCACTGCGGGGCGTTCGAGTGACTCTTGAAAGGAGTGAGGCGCTCTTATTCTGTACTTGTTCACAGTAAACGTCTGTTTTTGTCTGCAGGACGGCTGAGCAAGAGGTCACTGGCAGGTTTCAGGGGAACACGAGGAGCAGACGGAGAAGCTGCTCATTAATCGGGGGTTGGATGGACAAGGAGCCAAAAGGCCAAGTATTAACAAGCAGCACTGGGGGGTGTCATCCACCTGCGGATGTGGATCAGAAAAAAAAAAACTGTCTGATTTAGATTTTATTTTTTAAATCAAAAACTTTGTCAAGAAAACTAAAATGAAAGAAGTCAGAGCCAGGATGCTGCTGCAAAGCTTTTATTGAAGGAAAGAAATACAGAAGTACACGATGCCTCGTTCACAGAAGCGTTAACAACAGAGCTGCACGACTTTTACCACCAACAGCTCTGAAAACTTCTGCAGCGTCCAACCTCCACCTGATGCAAGCATCGAGTGGAACGAGCCAAAGATGGTCCAGACAATTTCTATAAACTTTATTTACTTTGGTTAAAACAAGTAAACAAGGCAAAAATCTTTGAGGCACAGTGAAGTATAACCCAGAGCCGCAGCTCAGTACTGCTCTGATGAAGGCACTTTATCACATAATGACACAAAGAAGGGGACACAAATAAAAACATGTTTTAAAATCTCTACATACAGACTTGTTGGCGTGTTTCAGTTCTACTTGGAAGTGAGACTTTCTGAATGTGCCCACACTCAGAAAGTCAGATGTCTCTAGTTAGACCAAGAATCCAAGATGGCGTCCTCACACATGAAAAGTGGTGGTAATATTCCACCTCTGTTAGCAAACACGTTGCTACACTGTTATCAGCTTGTAACGCTAAAAACAATGAGCCCGTGTCCTGCCATACAACTGGACCAGCTGAGTCATGTGACACTCAGATCTCAGTCCGACTCCGAAGCTAAACGAGACGCGGCGTGCACGATGCTACAAAAACATGACCCGGCTCAAACAACGCTAACAAAACCAGTACTGACCATTTGAAACCAGAATAAATGTTCTGTGTGTTCTGCAGCCAAGACTGTGGGTGCTGAGGGCGCTGCAGTACTCCCCTTTTAGATGACAAGAAACATCAAGGATAAAAGACAAACGAACGAGTAAATAAAAATAATTCACCATAGGTTTGTTTTATAATGTTTGTATTTGATGATAATAACATGGACCTGACTCTGTTTGGGTTGAACTTGTCATTTTACACATTTTCACAGCATCAAACAGTCCCACAGCTTTGTCTGCAGCTTTATATTTGACGGCCAGTTGTTTTTACGGCTTAGTAATAAAACTCTAAAAATAGTAAGACTCAAAAATTGTGTTTTTAGTCTATACAAAAAGAAAACGAGATCTCTGTTAGTAGAAGGAAGCAGGAAGGTGTTTCACCTCCATCCACAATTGACCAGATTTAAAATAACGTTCGATGTGACTGGAAATAAAGCACAGCAACTAAACTTAATGTCGCTACGGGTTTGGTTTTGTTGCATGTGATGATGAACTTGGTCATCAAATACTATATGGACGGAAAAATCCCAGGACAAAATCAGATTCAGGTCGTTTTACCTTCGGAGAACCAACTCGCTGCTCGAGGTCGCAGAGAGTGTGAGCATCTGCTACCAAAAAACACACACACATATACATATACATACATATATATATATACATACATATACATACATACATACATATATATATATATATATATATATATATATATATATATGAATTTCTCTAAAGAAAGATAAGCTGGTCTGTTTAAGTAGAAAATCTGTTCTAGCACACATCTGACAAATATCTCCTCAGCACTCGCTGTAAGTGAAAACAGGCCAATTAGCAGCGGTTTTTACAAAGTGTTCCCATGGTAACAACATCACCACCTCCTGATCTGTTGGGACCTAAAATACAGCTTGTACAAGTCCTTTGTTTGTCAGATCACTTGGCTTCCAAACACTTTTTGTTGGAAAGAAACAACAACAACAGAAATGATAAAATCATAATGAGTGTTTGTTTTAGAACCACTGAAATGGAGAGATGACCACGGACGTGTTTGATGTGACTGAATGTAACCAGATGCTCTTACAGGCTGGGTCTTTAAAGGTACCGCGAGATGTTTTTCTATTAACAAAACAAATTGTACTCTTTTCTTCTGAACACCCATGTAAAAATTGATATTTGAACAGGTTTAATGAGTAATGTAATGAGCTTCAGTGCTTTACGCACCGTTTCATTTAGTCATATTTATCTTTAAATGTCAGCCGATAGTAAAAAAGTCATCCTGCTGATGAGCTCCAAGCTTGTCGTCATTTTGAAATAATGTATTTTATGGTAGTTCTTTATCTGGTTTTAATCTCTTTACTATTTTTTGGGGGTAAAAATATTGTTTAAACCTATTTTTGTCAAGTTACTGTTGGTTTCTTAAATCACTTTTTCCTAATTTCTTTTTTTTTTTTTGCTGAAAAAACTTAGTCAAGTTGTTTTTTTCCATGTACCTGTTCAAAAGGAGACTCATTTAAAACTGCTCCTTTGAGCAACTGGGGAAAAAAAACCTTCCCATGGTACCTGTAAAGGACTATTCCAACCATTTTGACGTGGGTCTCTGTGGAAAAGTTACGAACATTTATTTTGTTACATGATTAAGACAGCTCTAGAAGTGGTTTCAGTTTTAAGAAATAGCACTGATGAGCTAATGGCTAGTCTGAACACAAGTCCAAACTGCTGCCATCTTAAAAATGCTCTAATCTCCAAACTTTAGCTCTTCATGTCTACGATATTACAGAGACATTTACACTTTCATTAACTTCAGAATACATGAATATTTGCCAACACAAGCAGTGGCAGCAGCAGCTACTGTAGCACTTCCTGTGCAGTCTGGGGTCAACTCTGGCACGTATTACATCATGTTTCTGCTAGGATAACAAAGTATTAAGAAACTCAGTGTGGTTTGCAGAGGCCACTAATATTTTAAGGACTAGAGTGGTTTTAAAAAGGTTTTGAAGTGAATCTTAGCTCATCAGAACGTTCTGAGCCGAGTTTGACTTCAACCTTAAAAATATCAAAAGCATCTCATCAAATGTCATTAAAACCATCATGCTCATTTAAATTTAGTATTACACAATTAATATGAGAAAACTCCTCCTGGAATAGATCTATGGATGAACTCAAAGTGCTGCAGCCTGTGGCGCCTGCAAAGTCCAGAAAACTTAACAAAAATCAAGTATTTTAAGAAACAAGATACTCCTGTAAACTACTTCTCAAACCGATATTACTTTTAGAGCTGTCTATAACAGGTAAGATAACAGCTGTTCATAACCTTAATACAAAACTCCACTTCAAACTGGTCAAAATGTCTCTTATTCCCAGTCCCTGCAGTGATCGGGCTGATCTGTCGGGTTAAAATGGGAACCCGTATCTCACTTTAGGTGAATCAGTACTTTAAAGTGTCGTGGTCCCTCGCTTCACATCCACTGCAGAAAAACACTAAATACACAAGATGAAGGTAAATACTGACAAACAGCACTAAATCACACGTACCAACATGCTCATTTGATCAAATTGTTGCTATAAGGACATTTTAACTCAATTATGTACAGCTAAAATATTTCCTTTTTCATAAAATTTATTATAAAGTGTCGATGTACTTAATGTTGAAAATTGCATAAATGTATAATATTCTTTACCTCCAGTAAACAACACAACGTTATACATATTTACTGAAAACAAACCCCCACATCTATAAAGTCAAGGCCGCATTCGTTTAAAGGACTTTCATGATTGTACTCTTCAGACCTGCAAAGCCACAGCAGCAAACATCAAAGCTGTCAAAGGAAAACTTTGTTAAAACGATAATGGCTGCAGGACTGGGCTCTGCAGTAACCTTTGACCCCGTGGTCCCACTCAGCTCAACATAAATAACATTCCATTTAAAATGGCAGAACAAAAACGCAGGAGCTGTGGAAGTTCATTTCTGAAACACTGAATCAGTTCATCCTCTCTTGAGTTGTGCTTTTAATCTGCACAACTTGCTGGATGTTCTAACAACTTTTGACCACTGAAGAAACCAGATTAACTTGTGGATTAAGAAGTATTAAAATAAGACGGTCTCTGTGAGAGGGCCAGTTTGACAGTTTTTATACCAATCTTCCCTCCGTCACCTGGAATGCACATGGAAAATGTGTGAGTTTTCATTTTAATGAAGTGGGCTAAAGGGACATTTCACCCATCTTGAAGTGAGGTCTGTGGAAAAGGAATTAACAGTTATTATCTTACCTGTTGCAGATTTGAACTCAGTTTAGCGAAACAGTATTGAAGAGCTAACGGCTAATCTGAAGACCAGGGTGGACTGCTGCCGTCTCAGAACTATGCAGATCTCCCAAATATCAGAACCGTTTAAATTATGGTCTGTTTTGCATTCCAAGTTAGATTTTACACAAATATTTCGGTGAGTTTGAACATTTTGTTTGGAGTCGGGGGCACTTCAGACGGAAATTTCATATTCTTGCCCAACAAAAACATGACGATTGTGTAAAACTTTAAATATTGGTGTTCCATTGAAATTAAAAAAGATGGGAGTTGTTTTGACGTTGTTTATCACATCGCATTATTAATGTGGTGGAAATATGACACAGTCGTTTCTGGAATTAACCCCTGGCTGCACAGAAAGTGCCACATCTCCCTGCAGCTGGAGAGACAAACATTTCTGTGTACATGACTCATTTTATTCTTATATTATGTAATAATTTGATTCTTTCAAGTTTGTCATGACATCTTCTTTCTCTCTAATTTAAAATGTATATTATTGATAAAAGTTAATAAAAAAAAAGGTTTTATGAAACAGCATTTGTGTGAGAGTTGTGAAAGTTTGTAGATTGTTGTTTTAGGACGGGAGCAGTCCACTTTGGTTCGAGATAAACTGGCTCAACGGTCTGGTCAGAATTAAACCGTTACACAAAACAGAAGTCATTTAAAGAGCTATCTACAACAGGTAAGATATTAATTCTTCACAAGCTTTCCACAGAAACTCATTTAAAAATGGCTGAAACTCCAAATGATTTGGTCCAACATGAAGCTGTGAGGCTACTTTCATTTAAAACAGACAGCGTGTGCACGTGAGTGCTGAAGGATGCAGGCTGGTGTGGACGGGTATGTTTGCGAGTAAAATACAGAAAGAGTGCGTGCTGCAGGATCACAGTGGAGGTGACTGAGGGGGGTGGGGGTGCTCAGAGGTCAGTGGTGGCCTTAGCGGTCAGGGCCTGGATGCGGCTGGTGTTACAGTTTTTGCAGAGGACGTGTCCGTCCAGTGGGTAGCAGCCCTGGTTGTCCCCTTCAGAGAGCAGAGAGCCACAGTCCTGCAACACACACACACACAGGTAGTCAGCACACACACACACACACAGGTAGTCAGCACACACTCATCTCCTGCTGGTTTTCACACATTTACAGCTGTTTAAAATTCAAACTGACGTCACGCTCCAGGAAACAGTTTTCTCACAGATGGTGAGTCTGAAGTGAATAACGTGTCAGCAATACATCACATCTTAACAACCATTTATTCACATACTTCCATCTACAATCCAGTCTTCACACTTTTAGTAAAGTTCCATTTGTTGTCATCACTGTATGTTTCTATACGATGATGAAATGAGTTCTCTGCATTTAACCATCACACCTGAGACACACCCAGGTGGAGCAGTGGGCAGTTATGTAAGCGCCTGGGGAGCAGTTAAGCCCCCAGTATACTCCCACGTCCGTCCGCACGTACGTACACAAAGAGTTGAGACTTCATACTCGAGCGTCCACCCTGAGCAGCTGCAGAGCAGCTCCACAGACAAGGGGCGTTTATCTTCAGGACAAATTGAGGTCGCCGATTGGTCATTTGCTGACACGCCTACTGGATTGATTGACAGGTGAAAAAAAAGAGAGCTGGCAGCCCCAGACGCAGCGCTGTTCTGTGTTTATATGTTGTTAATAAAAAGATCTAAAAAATAAATAAAAACAGGGAGCGCTGGTCCTGCAGCCCACACATCAGAGCAGCCCAACAGGAAATCTCCAGACCCTCCCGCAGCCATGCTGGACCTGAGTTTATAATTCGCTTGTGACAAATTCTTTCATTTCTCACCATTTCAGTCATGGCATCAACGGAGGAGGAAGAGATCTCTGCCTCTTGGCAAAAAAAAACAAAAGAAAAAGCCAGATCAGAGATGAAGAAGGGGAATTTAATACATTGGTGTCGCATACAAAACAGTCCGTCGCCGGGCAGTTTATTGTGCGACAACGCGTACGCGGTCATAAAAATTGAGCTTTGCACAACATGCCCTGCGGGGGTACCTCCGTGTACGGACGTACGCAGGAGTACATTGGGGGCTTTAGGGATTAGGTGTCTTCCCACCACAACATGTGGGCATGGCAGGGAGTTGAACCTGGGACTTTCTGGGTCCTAGTCGACTGCTGTACCTCTACACCATCTCGACCCAGTACACTTTCTCTTTAGTGCAACATTGTTTTTATATATTTTGATTTAAGGGGGTTTAAAATAAGCCACTCCTGTTATTAGTAGTAAAAAGTATCTGAAAATGTATTCTTGCAGATTTCTTCTCCACCACGCTGACTCTGTCTGTCAGCAGCAGTCCGACAAGCAGCACAATGTCCCAGTTTTATTTCCAGAAGATAACTTGAATTCTTTGAATGCAGTTAAAGGTTGCTTTAAAAAAGGGTTTTTGAATATTTGTTTCTTATTGATGTTATTTTGTTGAAAAGAAAATCCAAAAATCAGCCAGAAAAAAAAAATAAATAAAAAATATTCTCTCTCTCGGGCAGTACGGTGGCACAACTGGTAGAGCTGCTGCCTCTCAGAGAACAGGTCTCTGGTTCAAATCCTGATCCAGGGGTCTTTCTGGGTGGAGTTTGCATGTTCTCTCCGTGCATGCGTGGGTTTTCTTCGGGTGCTCCGGTTTCCTCCCACAGACCAAAAACATGCATGTTAGGCTGATTGGTAACTCTAAATTGTCTCTAGGTGTGAGAGAGAGAGTGAATGGTTGTTTGTCTCGTTTGTCTCTATGTGGCCCTGTGATGGACTGGAGACCTGTCCAGGGTGTACCCCGCCCCTCGCACAGTGATTGCTGATATGGGCACCGTCGACCCCCGTGACCCAAAATGGAAGAAGCGGGTAAAGATAATGGATGGATGGATTCTCTCTCTCAGTTGATGTTTGAGTGAATCCCTCATAAAAAAAACTTTCAGAACATAAATATATTTTCTTCTTTCAGCTGCTCCCTTCTTCAGGGCTCGCCACAGAAAACTAACTCGCACAAAGACTTCGTGATTGTTTTAACGCCTAATGTCCTTCCTGACATAACCGCAGACCACTGAGCTACCACAGCCCTTAACCCTAGGTGGGGGTTAAGGGCCTTGCTCAAGGGCTCAGAGTGGGACAGATGAGGGTGGAGACAGGTGTGGGTGTTTCACCTTTCCCACCCACATTTTGATATTGTCAGTCTGGGAATTGAACTGGCAGCCTTCCGATCACAGGCCCACCTTCTCTGACCTCTGCTCCAGGTACAGGTATAACACCTTCATGTTGGCGTGATTGGTGCACCGAGGAACAAACAAAAACCTTTACCTCACAGCGGTAACACTGGACGTGGAAGTCGCGGTCCAGAGCCACAATGCGAACGGTCTCTTCCTGGCCCGGTGCCGGCATTATGGGCTCAGAGCACACACAGCAGCGTGGAGCAAACTTCCTGTGGGGAGCAACAGATCCAAACTCAGAACAACAATCCTTCTACACAGTGGACAATGACTCATCACCACTTCGTACCCACAGTTTTATCATCATCATCATAATCATCACCATCATCGTGTGGTACCTGAAGCCCCTCAGGCCTGTAGCTCTGGATGCTTTCTGACTAACATTTAAATCTCAGGATACATATATATTTTTAAAAAGCAGCTCTGTTCAAATCAGGCCTTCTGCTTTAAGGGTATGTTTGTCTGAACAGGCAGGTCAAGATGAGCTTTCTGTTTTACAAGCAGCAATCACTTGAACAAGCAGTACGCCAGTGTCCCAACACTGAGGGACTTGAACGGTGAATGTTTGTAGTTTTTTGAGATGAGTGCTTTTCTGGACTGGAAGTGAACAGGGAATGTAAGTAAACCTTAATGTTTTTGGTGCAGTACATTGAAGTGGGTATGAGTTACATATATATATATATATATATATATATATATATATATATATATATATATATATATATATATAAATTGAAGTCTATTTTCCAGTTAGCCTCACTGATCAGTGGTTTTCTTAAGGCTACACAGCTGTTCAGTCCTAATCCCTTGAGTTCCTTCACATTGTGTGTGTGGAAATGTTCTTACTTTCACAATTAAACATAGTCCTGAGTGCTACTGTTGTTTTTCTTCCATTTGATTTCACCAAACGTTTACGTGATCGTCGATCACGATCATTCAGGATTTTGTTCTGGCCACATTTCTTCCTCGAAGACGATGATTTCCCACTATCCTTCCAGTTTTTAATGTGTTGGACAGTCCTTAACCCAATTTTAGTAATTCCTTCAATCTCCTTACATGTTTTTCCTGCTTGATGCCAATGATTTAACCCTTTTAAAACAGACTGACATCTTTTCCATGACCATGCGATGTGTCTTTCAACATGGTTGTTTAAGAAATGAGAAGCAACTCATTGCAACAGTTGGGGTTAAATAACTTGTTGTAGCTGAAAGATAATTGCCCATGCTGTAATTATCCAATAGGAGGCTCATACCTATTTGCTTAGTTAAATCCAGGAGGCAACTTTTTTTTGGGCCAGGCAGTGTGTATGTATGTATGTATGTATGTATATATATATATATATATATATATATATGTATATATATATAAATATATATATATACGCTTTGAAGACCCGAACAGACCACCCAGCACCAGACTCACCTCACCACCGGATGAAGAGCATCTCAGCGTGACCTCAGCAGAAGTAAGGAGTACCTTCAGGAGGATTAATCCGCACAAAGCAACTGGCCCAGACAACATCCCCGGAAAAGTGTTGAAGGAATGTGCTGATCAGCTCTGTGAGGTGCTGGCAGACATCTTTAACACCTCACTTACCCTGGAGACAGTTCCCACCTGCCTGAAGACTGCCACCATCATCCCAGTCCCAAAAAGCTCTACAGTGACTGGTCTGAATGACTATCGGCCAGTGGCCCTCACCCTGATAGTCGCTAAATGCTTCGAAAAACTGGTCATGACTCACATCAAAACAACCATCAACATCAACGAGGACCCTCATCAGTACGCATACCGTGAGAACCGATCAACAGAGGATGCAATCTCCTCTGTGGTCCACACTGCGCTCAACCACCTGGAGCAGAAAAACTCTTACGTCCGTATGCTCTTTGTGGACTTCACATCCGCCTTCAACACCATGATCCCCCAAACCCTGATGGACAAACTATCCACACTAGGACTAAGCCCCTCCATCTGCAACTGGGTACTAGACTTTTTAACAAACAGACCACAGTTAGTGAGGATCCACAACCTCTCCTCCTCCACCATAACCCTCAGCACTGGCTCTCCTCAGGGATGTGTGTTGAGCCCCCTCCTGTTTACTCTGCTCACATATGATTGTGCAGCTACCCATCCAGGCTGTCACATTGTAAAGTTTGCAGATGATACAGCGGTGGTGGGATGCATCACAAACAATGATGAGTCCAGCTACAGGCAGGAGGTGGAACACCTGGAGAGCTGGTGTAGAGAGAATAACCTTCACATCAATGTGAAGAAGACAAAGGAGATGATTGTGGACTTCAGAAGGAACAAAAACACCTACACCCCCCTGAACATAAGAGGATCTGCGGTGGAAGTGGTCTCCAGCTACAAGTACTTGGGTGTACACATGAATGACAACCTCAGCTGGAGCAACAACACCACCAGCCTGATCAAGAAAGCTCATCAGAGACTCTACTTCCTCAGACGGCTGAGGCGAGCTGGTCTGGGAAGCTCAGTCCTCACCTCCTTCTACAGGTGTGCAGTGGAGAGCATCCTGTGCTCCAGCATCAACGTGTGGCATGGAGGCTGCACAGCTGCAGAAAGAAAAGCTTTGCAGAGAGTGGTGAAGGCTGCACAGAAATCTGTTGGAGTCAGTCTCCCCACCATCACAGACATCTACACCTCCAGATGCAGGAAGAGGGCCACCTGCATCATGAAGGACCCCACCCACCCAGCACACACACTTTTTGCCCCACTCCCCTCAGGAAGGAGGTTAAGGAGCATTAAGTGTAGAACCACTAGACTGAGGAACAGCTTCTACCCTGAGGCTGTTAGACTCATGAATCTCTAACTAGAATAATCACTGTGAAAAACCATATCATGTTGTTGCTGATCTGTTTCATGTTGCTGCTGATCTGTTTCAATGTTGATGTGTTCATGCGTGCACATCTGCTCACAGACTCATGTTCATGTTTGTGCTGATGTTCAATGTTTTATGTTATGAGTGCTTAGTGTATATTTAGTTGATGTTTTTCTTAGTTCATATCTTAGATGTTATTACTGTTTTTCTTATACATTTTATTGTTGGATGTAACTGGGACCCTGTGTACATAATTTCGCTCCACCACATGTACCACATGAGGTGCGAATGACAATAAAGAAACTCTGACTCTGACTCTGACTCTGATATATATATATACAGGTCCTTCTAAAAAAATTAGCATATTGTGATAAAGGTCAATATTTTCCATAATGTAATGATAAAAATGAAACTTTCATATATTTCAGATTCTTTGCACACCAACTGAAATAGACAGATTCATTGCACTGAACTGAAAAGACTGCCGACCTGACTGCTGTCCAGAAGGCCATCATTGACACTCTCAAGCAAGAGGGTAAGACACAGAAAGAAATTGCTGAACGAATAGGCTGTTCCCAGAGTGCTGTATCAAGGCACCTCAGTGGGAAGTCTGTGGGAAGGGAAAAGTGTGGCAGAAAACGCTGCACAACGAGAAGAGGTGACCGGACCCTGAGGAGGATTGTGGAGAAGGGCCGATTCCAGACCTTGGGGGACCTGCGGAAGCAGTGGACTGAGTCTGGAGTAGAAACATCCAGAGCCACCGTGCACAGGCGTGTGCAGGAAATGGGCTACAGGTGCTGCATTCCCCAGGTCAAGCCACTCTTGAACCAGAAACAGCGGCAGAAGCGCCTGACCTGGGCTACAGAGAAGCAGCACTGGACTGTTGCTCAGTGGTCCAAAGTACTTTTTTCAGATGAAAGCAAATTTTGCATGTCATTCGGAAATCAAGGTGCCAGAGTCTGGAGGAAGACTGGGGAGAAGGAAATGCCAAAATGCCAGAAGTCCAGTGTGAAGCACCCACAGTCAGTGATGGTCTGGGGTGTCATGTCAGCTGCTGGTGTTGGTCCACTGTGTTTTATCAAGGGCAGGGTCAATGCAGCTAGCTATCAGGAGATTTTGGAGCACTTCATGCTTCCATCTGCTGAAAAGCTTTATGGAGATGAAGATTTCATTTTTCAGCACGACCTGGCACCTGCTCACAGTGCCAAAACCACTGGTAACTGGTTTACTGACCATGGTATTACTGTGCTCAATTGGCCTGCCAACTCTCCTGACCTGAACCCCATAGAGAACCTGTGGGATATTGTGAAGAGAAAGTTGAGAGACGCAAGACCCAACACTCTGGATGAGCTTAAGGCCGCTATCGAAGCATCCTGGGCCTCCATAACACCTCAGCAGAGCCACAGGCTGATTGCCTCCATGCCACGCCGCATTGAAGCAGTCATTCATGCAAAAGGATTCCCGACCAAGTATTGAGTGCATAACTGAACATGATTATTTGAAGGTTGGTGTTTGTTGTATTAAAAACACTTGTCTTTCATTGGTGGGATGAAATATGCTAATTTTT